CAGCAAAAAAATGAATAAATTCACGGTTGAAAAGATAAATTTATTAGTTGATGAATGGATGGTTGGTTCGTCCGAACTTATATACTGATAGATGAGTGAGTGAATAAAAAGCAGTCATATGAATGGACAAATGAACAAATGAATAAACGAACGAAGAACGAATGAACGATCGAGCGAATGAACGAACGAACGATTGAATGAACAAATTGGTTATTAAATTAATGAATGAAAAAACGAATAAACTAACATATGAACAGACGGATGAATGAATGAACGATTGAATCAGAATGAGCGAATAAAAAAACGAATGAATGAATGAGTAAATGAACGAGTGAAGGAACGAATGAATGAACGAATGAATGAACGAGTGAACAACAAACGAATAAAAAAACGAATGAATGAACGAAAGATTGAATGAAAACATGAATGAATAGACATGTAAAAAATTAATAGATGCTAGATAAATCGATGATTGATCTATGCTTATTGCTGATTTCTTTCACAAACACACGCATACATATTCCCGCACACAAGCAAACACACAAACACACACATACAGAGTAAAATACACACACATACACACCGGCAAACACACGTACACATAGTAAAACACACACACACACAAAATATCAATATATAATTATTATTAAAAGTATAAAATTGTGTGTGTGTGTGTGTGTGTGTGTGTTGATGTGTGTGTATAACTGTGTTTCTGTTTGTGCAACTATATGTGTGTATGTGTGTGTGTAATCGAATTTCTGTTTGCAGTACGAAACAGCATATATTGATACATAATTTGAGCCAAAAACATCCACAGTGTTTTTATTCATGCTTGTATATCATCAAAAACATTCAACATCAAAATTTATACGGAGAGGATGGTGATTTAAATCTCAAACTTTACAAATATCTACTGTTATTAGGGGCGGGCAGACTCATAACCGTACTTTTGTTTGCACCTATTTTTGAAATACACATTTAATTACCTAATTCAATGTCATAAAATGGATTTTTTTCCCATATTTGTATTGCATGCTAAAAATATGCCAACCTTCTCGCTAAAAATCTGACCACAAATAGACATTGTTTTCGTTTGCCATCTAGGATTTCGTTAAGACTGGATTGAGTAATAAATTAAAGATTGCATAAAATCGTGTTCAGGCATTGTTTGTGAGTGTGTGTGTTTGTTTGTGTGTGTGTGTTTGTGTGTGTTGTATGTGCTTGGTTTTTGTTTGTTTGTGGTGTGTGTGTGTGTGCTTGATTTTTGTTTGTGTGTGATGTGTGTTGTGTGTGTGATTAAGTGTGAAAATAAAATATATAATCAAAACATGAAGCGATGATTAAAGGGAAGATGACACAAACCATCTTAATGATCACTATTTTTAATATATATGACAGATGTTTGAACAAAAAAAATTTTTTGTCACCTCTTAGAAAAAATTTTTTTTTTTCAATTTTGCGTTTAAAATAATTTTTTTTTGACTCAGCATCCCATCATTAATTTCATCTTTGGACGATATCCTTCGACCCGAAATTTCTACGTTTTGATATTCTAGTGGCGTCCCAACATCAGCAAATTGTAATGCCCATCTTTATGGAGTTTTAGAAGCTACGAATGCTGTTGCTCTAAATTACTATTTACGGCAACCACAACTACCACCTCTGTTACTAATATACCGCTGCTGCTGCTACTACTACTTCACTACTACTACAACTACTACTACTACTACTACTACTACTACTACTATTACTACTTTTACTACTACTACTACTATTACTACTTTACTACTACTACTACAACTACTTTACCACTACTACTACTTCTTCACTACTACTGTTGCTTCAATAGTATTTCTACTACTAACTCAACCACAAAAGCAATATGATTATAATCATTAGCATTGCTACTGCTGCTGCTACCACAACTACTGCTGCTACTACAACCGCTTCATTGTTATTACTACTACTACAACTGCAGTTACTACTACTACTACTACTACTACTACTACTTCTATTACTTCTACTACTACTTCTACTATTACTACTTCTTCTTCTACTACTACTGCTACAACTACTAGCGCTATTACTAATACTACAACTACTTTTACTTAAAAACCAAATTTCAGCCAAGTCGAAAATAAAATTTCTTTAAAGCCTAAATTTCAAATAGAAACTACAATACTGAAAGCGTCAAAAGTCGTGGCTAGCTACAGAAATGGAATTTTTAGTGGCTTTGTTACTCAAAATTGAAGAGAGGACTTTGATGAAAGACCTCAAACGAGAACTAGGATGTTATAGCCTATCAAAATATCAAAAGGTTTGACCTCAAACGTTCAATGCAAATACAATTTCCTTGTTGAATTGTTAAAATTTCATGTAATTTTTTTTCAAATCGTTTTTTAATGATAATGCTTTAACGCATTTCTTTTAAAATTTGTCGATTCGCTTCTCATTAGCATTTTCTTTAAACTTTAGAAATGTAAAAACTTTTCAAAATGTCTTGTTAGGCTTTCGAAGGTTTGACTTCTTTATAAAATCAGAAGCATCAATATGTGACACAAATCGTACAGTCTTTCAACCAACGCCCGTCCGCTACATCCCAGAGCAGCCATCACTCTATCATCATCTTCTTATAAAACTCACCAACCCACAAACTCTTCCGACTCCGAAATGAAAATTAATGGCTCCAGCAACGTATAAATTTCAATTGATTTAAACTAATTCATCGAATTATCATTCATCTCTTCATTCCATATCGATACTCACACGCTAGGCAGAATATATATATATATATATATATACACGCACGCACACACACACACACACACTATGAAAAACAACACACACACACACTATGAAAAACAACACACACACATATAAATACATACACAAACATACACAACACATACACAGAGACACACACGGGCACACACCAACATAGAGTTTTAGGCCAGCATGAACGCGGTTGAAGTTGCAGATAGATCTCCATTGACCTTTGAACTTTGCTATAATTTCAATGGAATATTTATTGACCGCTTCGGAGTGAAGTAATAATTCAGAAAAGGTCGACCGGGCGAAAAATTTTTTGATAAATTTTACGGAACAAAATTTTTTTTTTCGAGAAACTCGTTGTCTATATTTAAAAAATGCTTTGCAGGAGGTTTTATTAATGCTGTTTTGATGTTCTCTGTCGTTGCTCAGGCCCTCTTCTTCGTTGCCAGCATTCTGTAAAAGTTTCATTGTTTTAGTTGTAATGATAACATTTAAAAAGTAGATTTGATCATTTAAAATAATTGAAATAATAATAATATTATTATTATTGTTGTAGTTAATTAGTAATGGTATTCTTATTATAATGATGAAGAATACTAACTGGAAGAAAACTCAAAACGCTGAATTTAAAAATAACCAAGACGAATATAGATGAAGATTATTTTCGTGCCAGTGATTTTCCAGAACGGCGTAGCGTTGTGGTGTGATAAAAACAGATGTCACTACAATTAATACCAACGTTCACTTTTAATCTTTCCTTTTCCTCTTCTAATAATCGCAACTGCTGCTACTACAGTAACCACAGTAATGACGTCACACTCATTGTCATAATCGTCCGCCAACTGGTTATAAATAACCATAACTATTGTCATTAATGTCTCGCCATAACTTTCGTATCGTCAACTTGACAGTCCGAAAAAGCGTCATGAATTCTGTCACCAACAACAATAGTATTGTCATTGGTGTTAACAGTGGTGGATTTATAAGAGGACGAAGAAGAGCTCTCCCTTCCGCAAACTGTCTATTTCATTTTCATCATTGTTCTTCCACGTCAAATTTTATAATGCCGACACTAAATTAAATTTTGACCCGCCCCTTGTCAACATTGTTTAGATCAGCAGCTGATTATCTACTTGAAAGTAAAGCAAATATCAAGCGAAACAAAAACTCCGAAACCTGAAATTTTAGCGGATTTTAAAATTTAAAAAATACTTAAAACTACACATTAAAATACTTCCAAAAAAATTACTAAAACTACATTAGCGAACAAACAACAATCGCGATAAGAAAGCATCAATGAATCGTTATTACATTAACGTGAGTAAAACATCATGTTACTGCTACCATATCATGTTGCCATTACATTCATTTCGCTACAACAATAAAACTGCCTGCAACAAAACATGAAAATAACATTCTATTCCATCACATCATCCACATCATCATTACATTGCTAGCACGTCCATATCAGGCCTACAACATACCGACAAAATTATAACAAGTTTTCAATAAAGTCAACTTCAAACTTGTACTATCTGACCATGATCACATACAAGCCAGGCCAGTTTGAGTTAGTGATCAATCCAATCGACTACAAAGTCTGTGCTTGTGCAGACATCCATAAAGCCAGACCGGCACATCCAATCTATGCGATCATCTATCCAGAATGAAAATATGTATTTGTAGAGTCAATATCAACTTGACGTCATCGTCGTCATCATCATCAACGTCGTTGTTTTTCTAGCTAGGACCCTGAAAGAATTTTAGAAAAGTTTTTATGTTATAATAAAATTTACCTGGAAAAATTAATAAAAATTGTATGACCAAATAAATCCTTCCATCATCACCTTTTGTTCATAATTTCCAGCATTTCCTTTCAAGAAAAAAAAGTATTTTAATCCATTTATTCATTTTAAATACGCAAATTTGGATTAAAAATTTTCATGTAAAAATATGCAAACAATTATATGGAACTTCTTGGTGCCTAATAACTCCACCATTCAAATGGCCTGCAATGTATATCAATCTAATTTCAATGAATGCTCTCTTATTGGGCCCACTCGATCCACTCCCAAAACCATCATTTACTCTTTCCACAGCCTGCCTATCTAATATTTTCATAGTCTTTTCTTTCTCTCAATCTTCCTCTTCTATTTCTTTTTTTCCTATTTTATTTTCTCTCTTTCTCCCTCTCTCTCTCTCTCTCTCTCTCTCTCTCTCTCTCTCTCTCTCTCTCTCTCTCTCTTGGAGTCGCTACACGTACATGTGTACGTTT